GCTAAAATAAGACCCAGAGGGTCGTAGACACGAGCTGATAATCTCAACACGTTCCGTTTTGTAGGCCGTAGCTGCATCCCCAAATCATATAGATCTTTGCTCTGAAAGATGAGCTGATCCTCGTGCGGTACCCATCTCACTCCCAACACTTTTGTCGGCTCTCCGTCACTGGTCGTTAGAAGGATACCTGGCTCACTTGCTCGTTTTGCCGTGTCCGAGCTTCCTGCCACATCGATGCTTCGGTTTGACCTCCATTTTGTTAGGTTCATCTTTGCCGTCGAAAATACTTCCTTTGCTTCTTGGGCGAAGACCTTTGCTTCTGATTCGGTTGCCATGCTGGTCAGCAGGTCATCGCAGTAGACGTCACGTTTTAGTCGATCAGCCGTGTCCCTCAGTTCATCGGGCTGTCCTTCAAGATGTCGTCTTATGACAGCCTGTAGGAGGAATGGAGATGATGCTACACCGAACACCACCCGCGTCATCCTATAGGTGGTCACTTCCCCGTCCGGCGTTCGCCAGAGAAATCTGGTGAGATCACGATCTTGATGATGGAGTGCCAGCTGAAGGAACGCCTTCTCAATATCTGCTGACACCGCCACCATGTTCAGTCTGAAGCGAATGAGGATGCCGGTGAGGTCTGCTATCATGTTGGGTCCCGGCAAAAGCATGTCGTTTAAAGACCTAGGACTTCCTGCTGATGCATCGAAAACGATGCGGATCTTGTCACCTTTGTATACAGCATGGTGCGAGAGATAGTGCACCGGTCCGTCGGGAACCACCGGGGCGGGTTCAGCAAAACCCATCTCTATGTACTGTCGAATGGCTTGATCATACTCCTGCCGCCTGCCAGAGCGGTCGAGAGATGTCTCACATCGTTCCAGTCGTCGGTGTGCGACGTCTTTGTTTGTAGGGAGCTCATCGAAATCCGTTTTAGCGGGCCAGCGAACTTGGTATCGTCCATCTGCGTCCCGTGTGCATGTTCGTTCGAAATGTTCGACGGCCTTGTTTTTGTCGGCTTGCGTCTCACTCACTTTCGATGGGAATGTCGGTGGTTCTATGCCGATGGTTTCCAGCGCCCACAACTGCTCGATGTCCTCTCGGAGAGTTCCAGTGTGAAGAAACAAGACCTGCCCATTCGCAGCTGTTCCATCGGCAGCAGCACGTCCTCCTAGAACCCATCCAAATATGGTTTCCCACGCCATCGGGCCACGCTCTCCGGTCTTCACCTGCCCATTCACGACATCTTGATAGTGATCCATACCGATCAGTATGTCGATATCTCCTGATTGCCACCTAGACGGACAGTCAGCTAGGGTCAGGTGCTTCAGATGTGGATAGTCGTTCAAGTCCACTGACTTGACGTTGACGGGGCCACATATTTGCTCAGTTTCCGCCGCTGTCAGAGTCACAGACTTGGTCGGGTCACTGCAGTTCATCAGTTTGATGGAAACAGAGTTCATCGTTTTGTGGGTTATGCGATCACCACCGAATGTTGAGATCGTTCTGCGCTGGGTTCCAAGCCGCTGACATTTCAAATCCCGAGAGAGAGATGTTGATATAAATGACTGGTTTGAACCAGTATCAAGGATAATTCTTACGTTCCTTTTGCCAGCGGGTCCGACTGCCACCGCTCTAGCTGTTTGGAAAAGAACTTGTTCCTTCTCTTCAACCTGGGACTGAGCAGTCACGATGGGTGCAGCTTCCTCTTCGGTGCACAGCAGGCGGTGATGTCGCTTTCCGCACCTTTCGCAGCATTTCACGTTGTTACATGTTCGTGCAATGTGATGAGGACCTAAGCAGATGAAGCAAGCTCCGACAGCGAGAAGCCGACGGCGCCGCTCGTCCACCGAGAGTGCTTCTGCCTTTCTGCATTGTGCCGTCTCATGCCCGAGCGTGCAGAACGCGCATTTTTGCGCTCTTGCCGATACCTGAAGGGCCGCTGCAGAAGGCAGCATGGTCGTCGTTGGCTGTGTCGAAGTTTTCCAGCTGCGCTTCTGGATAGCCTCCTTTTCCGTTGCGCGCAGTCCGTGCAGGGTTTGTCCACTGGCCGTTAGATATTGTTCGGCAGCGCTGGATATTTCTTCTAGTGTTTTATGGCCGTTTCGTTTCAAGAACAGCTCGAGTTCCTTTGGGCAGCTCGATAGAAACTGTTCAATTAGGGTCAACTGTTTGAGACCATCGAAAGATGTCGGAAACTCACTCAGGGACATCCATTTATCCAAGTATGTCGACAAACGTGTTATGTACTGCTCCGGTGTCTCGTCTTCTTCCGGAGGCGATTCCCGCAGACGTCTGCGAAAACCGTCAGCAGTAAGACCATACCGCTTTAGCAGTGCTTCCTTGAGGACCTCATAGTCATCAGCCTCGTCTGCACTCAAACGATGATAGACTTCCAGAGCCTTTCCAGTGAGCAGAGCGCTCAATGATACCGCCCAATCCTCTCTGTTCCAGTTGTTAGACTGGGCGATTCTTTCAAATCTTGTCAGGTATATGTCCATGTCACCATTTTCTTCAAATGGAGGGAGCTTTGGAAGCTTCTTACTCGTTCTTGTACCATTGCTGGCCATCGAACCATCCAAAAGTCGCAGCTTTTCTATTTCAAACTGTCTTTCCTTCTCTCTTTCCTCACGCTCTAGTTCCTTTTCTTCACGCTCCCTTTCCCTTGTTAGCTTTCTTTCTTCCCGCTCCTGATCCTTCTCATATTGCTTCGATGCGAATTCTAGAGCTTCCAGTCCGGATAAGCCTTGTCTTGTCGCTAATTCTACGTATTTATCCATTTCGGTTTGCCCAGTGTCCTGTCACGGTCACCAAATATGTAGCAAGAACGGTCGCGTTACTTTACATTGAATCGTATTTCGACGTAATTCGCGGAGTAAATCAACTTAAAGTTCATTTAGCCATTTATGTAGTGAATCACCGTATTATCATCACAGCAATCTCACCCCCATCCCCCACTTCCACCCTCATTCACAGCCATCCATTGACCTAAATACATTTCCCATACAAATCCCGCGCAGTATCCCAGCGGGCTCCTTCACCGGACAGTAACAGACGTAAACTGTAACTTTGAGCTGCTGCCTCAGGATATTGCTTTTGAACTGGCTCTAGCAAGCGGTCGGTTCAACTGTTGTCGTTGCAGGGAAATCAGTCCGTCTTTAAGAACAGGGTGAGTATATGTAGTGCACACTTCATCCGTGATGTAGGGAGCGGGAAAGCTATAGGTAATAAAAATTGTTATGTTCGTTGTGGTTGTACGACATGTGAATTACGATCGTGCTGTCGCGTGCTTGATCAGTTATCATGGACAGAAGATGTTTGGTCTCATTGTCAAGTGTCGTTAATGGTTGCATTGTAGGTTTGAAAACCTGAATTACCAGGCATACCATGTAAAATGTCAGATGTGGGTTATTTCTTAGTGATTTTTAGTGTGTCCCAGACTTTGATTAATTACCTCTTGGTCATTTTCAGATGCTCTCTTCGCACAGTGGTGAACCGCCCGACCAGATGCCAGCCGTCTACATAGTTTCGCGGTGGCTCTCTGAAGCCCGTGACGGCACACGGACACACACACTGTCCGCAGAGGAGCCGACACGAACAAGGCGCAGGCCTGCTATAATGACTGTGAACACCGGAAGTGAGTCCGCTGTGCCAGCGCCTTGCAAGTTGCAGCGGCGCTAAGATGATGGCCGACGCCACGAATGTGCTGGCCAGGCTGTGAATTTGTAAAAAATTGACCTGTGTGCAACCAGTAAATTTGTGAATTTATTTCAGTGTCCAATGTAATTCATTTTGTCGTGCAGGCATTAGGTATAAAGGTTGAATTGGAGAATAATGAAGAGGCGAGGGGGTTGCGGTGGCGCAAGCAAAGTGGTCGCATCTGCATAACAGCAATCTGCGGTTGTGAGACTGCGGTTAATATGTCAGATGCCTGCGGTATTCCCGAACCGGCCGTGCGGGCCGAGTTGGGACATCCCGATCGGGATCGGAGTTCATCGCTTGTTAAAATGCCATAAGGCGGTCCGGGTGCGTGCGGGATTTCCGAACCGGTTGTGCGGGGAGATTTGGGGAATCCCGATCGGGATCGGAGTTCAGCGCTTGTTAAAACGTGATAAGGCGGTCCGGATACGTGCGGGATCTCCCAACCGGCCGTGCGGGGTAGGTTGGGATATCCGGACCGTTCCAGCCCGTACAAAGTGTCTCATTTCCCAATCCCGTCCCACTCCGGTCCCGATCGGGGTGGTGCGGGCTGAGTCCGAAAATCCCGATCGGGAACGGAGTGGGATTGCTGGCTGGGGCTGTACTGTTTTTCGCCAGAACCAGGAAACGAGCCGTTCGTGATACATGAGCCTGTACATTAGAAGCAAAGGGGAATAAACGGATCTTCGAACACACGAATGACACCGACCGGATGGTAGATACTTGAGCTTGAGAGACCAAGGACGACCTACCGCAGCGTTTTAACTTGGGTACAACTTCAGGCAACGCAGTATGCAACGGAAAACAGTATGATCACGAATGCACTGAGACCGTTTGCAGGAGACGGAAGTATGTATGTTCATCAAAATGGAACAAGCATGCCCGGAAGTCTCCAGGTTCACGACCAGACACTCTGTCGTGTCCAATTCTCATTGTATGTGATCAAAAGTAATTTCTGCATACGACTCTTGACAGCGCAGCACAGATCAATTATAGAGCCATTGATCCTGAAATTGCCGGATGCACACTGAGAACGTGATTAGAAAACAAATACGAGAAAAGTAAACGACAAATTCGAAGATGATACAGGCATCTGTGTATTCAAATTTCAAACTGAAACGAAGTCATTAGTAATACAGAAGGGACGATATAACTGCCTAGCGAACAGCAGATAAATGCCACTCGATATCGCATATGGCTCTCAATTGCCCAATCACATCTCATCACAACCTGATACTAAAAACGTGGCACGTTCGATTCACGAGACCTACACCCACGTGCTGAACTGTCCGCGCTATCCTCACCTGGGTGGAAGTTGAAGAGTGGCAGGCCCAGCTTCTGACAGCGCTGCAGCTCGTCCAGCAGCAGGGCGCAGCTCTTGGAGCGGGTCTCCGGCTCCGGAGAGCCGAGGTTCATCAGGTAGGAGCCGTGGGGCACCACCAGGTCACCCGAGTAGCCGTAATTCTGGGAGAGGGAGGGGTAACACAGCATTAATTAACAGTCATGGCAATACGAAACCAATACTAAAACGCCTTATAAACACGCAAAATAAACCCTGATTAATTTCACATCCGATAATTTCAATGATTATAATTTCCAAGGTCTACCATACCATGCAGTAGATGCAAGAATGAAAGTCTTATTTTAGTTTTTGGAAGCCTTGGTTACGACATGTCACTGATAACAGCTCGGATGAATGTCCGATGTTGGACTCGTATGATAATTGTTGGCCTCATATTATATCTGCACCATGAGGAACTATGAAGGTGCAGCCTTCATCCGGTTTTCCCGAGTTACATCCAGTGCACTGAAGAGCGATGGCGAAAGTAACACGCTAACATGAATACCATTTCCTAACAAGGATTTTGCTTTCCCTTTTGTGGGGGTCGACACAAATGCTGGCACGCAAGTGCAGACCAATCCGGGAAAGGAAACAAAATGTGCCAACAATAGAACATGATGCCCTTTTAGGGTCAGACGGGCAAGTCAACTGAGATTTTTCAGGCGGCATGATACAGCTTTTGATAGCCTCACTGAGACAGTGCATTGTCCACTGCCGACTCCCCAGTGATCACGAAGTGCCGCTATCTCTCTAGACACCGACAGAGGCGATTCACGGCAGTGTGCTGTCCAGCTCGGCGGCTGGCCGCCACTGACCACACTGCGTGGAGCACCGGCCGGCGCACAGACCGAAATGAATGTCCACTCAAATGCTGCAGTAGATAAACGAAATGGAGCAAATTACACCAGACTGTGGTAAACGACAGCCTAGACTAGTATGTTAACATACTAGTCTAGGGCCCCGTGACCCTGCCAACATGTTGGCAGGGTCACGGGGCTGAGAGTCAACAGGGACGTCGACATTGTCGATTCAATGTGAAACCCCGACTAAAAAGTCACCGCCAGGGTTAGGTTGAGTGGCCACCAGTCGCATATCAACGGGAGACAAGGTCGATTCAATGCTTCCGGTAGTAGTGCCCCGGAGCACAGCTGAAAAACTAGCCTCAGTGAGCGAGCGGGCACCGAGGTGGTTCCCATCGGTCGGCTTCCCAAGGGACAGCTTTTATCCGCGCTCGATAAGACATGGGGGACCACAAGTCGAGTCAGCCTGAAAGACACGGGCAGCGCCTCCCTGCGAGCGCCCGAGTTGCGTGTTGAAAGCTGAAACTGAGCTGTTGACGGTCTTCGGCCGCGGACTTCGGGCAGCTCAGCGGTTGGGGTCCCCCCTAACTTACCTGCATGGCTTCTCTGAACCGGACGGCGTCCTCCTCCGAGAGAGGTTTCCGGTTCCAGGTGCGCTGGGAGGCCAGGAACAGCGCGAACGAGCGGGCTCCGATGTCGTGCGCCTCCCGAACCGCCTTCCACAGGCCGCCTGGGGACAGGGACGGGACGGGTCAGGTCAGCTCAGGTCACAGTAGGGTAAGGGCGGGTAAGAGTACGCGGGCGATAAGAGTACGCATCAGCTGTTTCGGTTGCTTAGCAATGCGGGTTTGTCGAGTTCATGAAGTGACATGAAGCCGCCAGTGCGTGCATGTCACCAACGGAACGTGGGCGTTGAGCGGCGACGTTGTTGAGTTTAAGGCGATGAATATTATTTTCGAGCGTTATGATATTATTATGATATGGTACAATAATTTTGATACTTGGCAGTTGAGATAAGGTACATTTCCGTGATTGTTGTGGGAAACTTGTGAGGTTATCTGGGGAAATACTGTACAGTGCAATATTCTGTTTGCGAAGTTTTGCACAACGTTTCGGGGTTGTTTTGTGCGCGAATTGCATGTACGGTAAGAGGACGCACTGTTCAGGAGGGTAAGAGTACGCAGAATTATACATTAAATCGAATATACAGAAATATAGAATTATTAATCTATCGCTCAATGACGTTTGTTTAGTAGGTATATCATCAATGGAGCACTGTGATGCAGATGCGTACCCGAAATTCTTCCAAATACGAGTTATTCTCCTTTTTGATTGTGCATTTTTTTAAGAAACACACGAGATGATTATTTCCTGATTTATAGACTTGAAAGATTTATTTTATGTTTTTCTTTTTGGATACTAGAATTAACTTAAATGCCTTCTGAGTTTGAAGTTAAGCATTTGGACAGTGCAAGCTGCATAGGTGTGTGTTCATATGCTTGCGTACTCCACCCGCCTGGCGTGCGTACTCTTACACACCCCATATGGTAAGAGTACGCAAGTGCAACGGTTCAGAAAATGTCAGTTTTAGACCACTTCCATTTACGCTGAAGGATCGTTGCCCCATGGGTTGATGGCTAATTCAATGAACTTTAATATTCCCTATTTGCGATTTCTTTCCTTCAAATATTAAACAAATGAGAGCAAAAAATCCACTAAGTGCGTACTCTTATACGACTTCACCCTATGACTATGTAAGCGGTAACGATAGGTATTACAGCACTTGGCACGGCACGGCGGGTCAAGGGGCAGCGGGGCAGACCGGCAGTATAGAGCAGCCACTGATATTTTCCGCGCCATGTCGAAGTCCGTACTACTGTAACATGTGCTCAGTTGTTGGGAAAGAGATACTACGGGAGATACGTCTGCCAGGAATATGATAATTTCCCACTGGAAGATGACGAATGCTTGTCAAATCTATTATTGTTAATGCGCTCCTCTATGCTCATGCTCATTGCGATTCGATTTTTTTTTTTTGGCCGACAGCCTATAGGAAAATCCATCACTTTCCGTCACTAGGTGAGAAAGTGGCATTAGGTTTTCCTTATTCGCAGCATTGCTAAGGCCGAGCATATCGTGATGGTTAATATTTCCTGTTGCAGGGCAGCACCAAGTACCACGGTAAAAATGCACCACTCCTTCAACATGGAAGGATTTATGCAAACGAATCACTAGCCAGAACCCGACCAAATTAGCTCACCACGAATAGGTGTGAGTGTGTGATGTGTTAAAAACAGGCAAAGGCTGCCCCATCTTCCGTCAGCAAATAACATTAGCAACTGTACATATCATATTGCGACTCATAGGGCAAAGCAATAGTGTCATAAATAAATACGCTCACAGACACAACCAGCGGGGGCCTCCGTGTAAATTCTTGGACGATGGCGGCATCGGCTGAAGTCACATCTACAATACGCAGTTGTAGCGTCATTGGGATAGCCAAAGAAAAATGACTAATGGGATGACGGTACCTACGCTAAAGCCAAAGCCAAGGCTTTGTTTGTGACTGCTAAGCGTTTTCCATTGTTCGGCAAAACACGCACGACGTGGTTGGGGCAATTCGCGATATATTGTGATAATGTTTGGTACTCATCTAATCGCTTAAAGATGCGATGCAATGTGCGCATTTTTATCAGAATGCTTAACTAGATAACAGCCAAGAAATAATTACTCAAAGTCAACCTGAAATGGTACCGAAAACGTTTAAAGCGCTCAATAATTATAAGAACAGTCACAACCAGGAACTTTTCTGGATATTCCATCAAAGTAGATTAACTGCTATGGACTTATATCCAGTTTCACTCTAGTGGTTATCGGGGTCATGTTTCATGCGCAGTCCACAAATTCCAGAGTATGGTGGGAACTGGGCCCAATTTGCAAACGCGGACACCGACAGAAAGAGCCAGTTGGTACGACCCCCCCACACACACTCGCGTTTGGCCCCTGATTGAGCTAGAGCTTCGCGGAAAAACGAGCGTGTTGCCCGTCACGGGAGAAAGCCGATGATACCCAATTTTAAGGTCCTAGGTCATCCATTGACCTTCCATCCCAGGTCAGGTCAATGACCCAGAAGTCGAGGAAATTGGGACCTGTTAGAAAGTCGTAAAGTGTGGCCGCATTGGGGGTTTTCAGGGTGCTGATCACGAATATCGTGTTAGTTTTGATCACAGCTGAGGTCATTGGGCATATAGACCAGGTCGGGTCAGGTCAGGTCAGGTCAACCAGTAGGGGTCGTGACGGGTATTCGTAATGCGTGTCAACCGCCTCTGACAGCTTCGCAACATGTTACGAAGGCACCAAAACCATTTTGTAAATGTTCAAATGGTTGCTTAATTCGAATTCAGCTCATAAAACTAGCCTACAGAAAAATGTAAACTACGAGAAACATGTAAAACTCGAAAAAGTGGACCGAGGTCACCAAAGGTCAATGACCTGACCTGACGTTCAGGTGACCTTGACATCCACCCAAATGCATGGGATCAACATCAAATCACATGTTTGAACGTTTGAAACCACAAAAAGCTTGCAAACGCCCGGATGCTAGCCGACATACGCCGAATCGCGATTCCGGCCAAACATGGTCTCGGAAAGTAGGTCACAGGTCAAAGGTCATTTGGGTCAGGGTCATGAAATTTTCAAGGTAGGTGTAAAATTGATCAATGCGAGGGTACTGAAAGTTTCGTCGCGATCAGCCGCTTTTTACGCGAGTTATTCTCGAAAAACCATAGGGGGGTTGCATCCCCCCCTTGTGCCGGCGAGGGTTAAAAAGACGGCCATAAAATTGGTGAAAGTATTACGTGTATGGCAGTCTAAAACAAGTGTTTCACAGCAAGGAGTCTGGCAGCCCAAATTTATTAGCGGTTCGCCCGCAAAGGCGGCAGTTTTCAAACTCATCAGTCATCAGCCCTGATCAAACTCACACCGTTTATCTCGCCACCTGCTAATCGGACCTAACGACCACCACCTTCAAAAAAGTTAATGAATTGGCACGAAAGTGATGTCGCTCGGTTCAGAAAGAGCGAAAACGAATATCTACCAAATTTCATCGAAAAATATTCACCGGTTTTCAAGATATTATACTTTTACTTTTGTTTACTTTTTGGGATCTCCGCTGTTCCTAGCGACTTTATTTGAAAGTGCGGCATTTGTTGCGCGCAAAGCAGCATATACCACCGCGTGCTACCAAACGTTTTAGTAAAAGATTTAAAAATCGTTAGATCTCCGCTGACGTCACAAATTCTAAGGGGGCATACCAATGCACTAGCCCCTTAGAATCCGAAAGCTGCAAGTTTGAAATTCCATATCTCCGAATTAAAGCATTTGTCGATGTTGTGAGTGCCCAAACCGGTATTTGCAGGCCATGGCCACCAATTTGGCTATCTCAACTCAAAACTAATGTTAAGGTGGGAGTGTCCCTTTAATACATCCCACAAAACTTTGGTAGGTTACACGGCGGTTTAAGCTGACCACCAACCGCTCCCGAGTCCCGGACTCCCGAATACCCGCCGTGCAGCCCTCCACAGTCTCCAATCGTGAATACAGCTGTCGGGTTGTGGGAATCCTTCTGTGAATGTCGGTACATCACACAAACTCGGCCACAGGCCGGGTACAGGTCACGCAGGAAACGAACACCTTGGGACCGTGAGAATGTCCAGGAACGGCGCAAAACGACCGGCGTGACGGCTTGTAGAACAGCTCGCGGGAATTACCGGGAAAGTGAAGTACAGCCCTAATTGTGAAAAGATGCATATCTGGGTGACTTTTCTGTGGTTTTATCCTGTGTATCACCTCAAAGACAAGATTTGAAGGAAAGATAACGAAGTGAAATAGTGAGAAGATAATTAACTTGGAGACTGATGAGTACTCATATGACGAATAATGAGGTGTTCCGATAAGGACCCTGGTCGCTGCTCGATATTTGCGTGATACTTATCAAGAGCGGACCGGGCAATATTATGACGTTTTTACTTTTTACTAATAAAGACTGATAAGCACCGTTAGTTATACTGTATCCGGAGACAATCAGGAGAAAATTGCACTTGATGGTAAGAGGGAAATGAGGCCTAAGTTAGGTAGTTTACAGGCAGTGGGTAGGCAGTAGGCCATTCGGGTAGGCACCAGATGACTCTGGAGCCCGGGCAACCACCACTCACACCCTCACTCACTACTCACCCGCTCCGGAAACATGGGCGCCCACGTACAGCTGCCCGGTGGCTTCAAACGGCGCCCGGCAGAGCGCCGCTGCCTCCTCCTTCACAGGGGGTAGCACACCGCGGGCAGCAGCCGGCCGAGAGGCCGCAGACTTCACCGCGACCTGCGCAGGGCCTAGGGCGGGCTTGGAGTCTTCAGCCTTCAGCACCTTCACCTTCTTCTTGCTGGTGGCGGCGGCGGAGGGCGTGCGCCGTTTCTGCGCTTTGCGAGATCCCGTGGGCTGCTCGCCGACACCAGACGCGGCACCGGTGGCCCTTCCACCGCCCGATGGAGCTGACGGGGGCGCCGAGCTCCGGCTGGAGCCGCGGGTCTGAACCATCTGCGTGGGGACGCCCGGCATCGACAGCTCAGTACATCGACTAGCTACTTTTGACTGCAAGTGAAGCAGCCAAATCCGAGGGAGCTAGGTGACACTTTGTGGGTTTGTCATGCTCACGGAGTCACGGCTCACCTGCTCCTTCAACTAACTCAAGATTACCAATCTTCTGACCTTCAGACTGAATATGTTAAGTTTTAGATGCAGATAAAAAGTACAGTTAAGTACCAGAGCCCATCCACTGTAAATCAGCAGCACCATCAGTTCTGATAAACTGAAGCCTAGCTGGAGCAGTGCAAACTTGGGGCAAAGGACCTTTGCTTACATTTATAAAATTGCCAATTAATATCAAACAATAACCTCAGGACTTCAAGTTCCAACTATATACCTGGTCACCAACAATATGCCTTTACCCTCCATGTGAGTTGGACTGCGTCAGTGGTCAAACTGGGTATGTCCTGTCCTAGCACCATTCTTGGGATAACAAAATCATTGCTAAAACTTCTCTTTTGCTGTTCTGATGAATTGAGTATGGAATAAATCTATCTAGATTTTATTTATTATTATTCAACCACTTTGTTATTTCAGATGAGACAGGCTATTCTATGATCATTAATAAAACTATGAAGCATGAATGGGACAATGACAATACAAGGCATCAACTCTATTCAAGTGCAAGTTAACCCTCACTTTACACCCATGTGTCTAGGACAGCCACTTGCTTCAGCCCTCATCTCACTGCCTGGAAGATATATATTTTTTAGACAAAACTGATAATAGCTTGAGGGATTGTGATCAGCCAATAGGAATTCATGGAACAGAGATGTCCCAAGCTCCACTCTGACTCTTTTGATTGGGTCTATCATTAAATGAATTATACTCTATGTATTGCTGCCAAAGTGGGAGAAACGTTTATACCTACCACAATGAGCCAAAGCTGATGTGTAGAGCCTCACACATAATGACATTAAGATTTATGAGTGACTGATGACATTATCTTTCATCTTTGAGCTGATTTTTTTTTAGAGTACCTACCCACCTACCATGCGGTGAGATGAGGGCTGTACTTAGGTCATTAGGTGCCTTCGCCCTTCATAGGATGCACCCATAGGAATTAGGATAGGATTCTGTAGTGTTTGGCAGTACTTTGAGTGTTGCGTTTCTGGCGTGGTTAAGACTTTCCTGGAGTGTTTATGTTCTCTGCGAGCTGATGTCGGGTGTTTTGGGGACTCGTCAGGGCAGTCGCTGTCTGGCATTGGATTGAAGCTGTCGTCTGCAAGAATATATAGCCGAAACGGAATACTGTTGTTATGGACCTGTGAAAGCAAGTGGGAGGACACTACAGATTCATAGGATGGTTTAGATAGTCTTGGATGCACCTATCACATTCTGAAATGAAATCTGAATCCTAGGCAAAGATATTCTATTTCTCGTCCCGAAAAAGGTGTCTTGCGTTGAGGATGTGTGCCTTGCATATATTTCCATCCAGTATGAAAAGAGCATGGGTCCCGAAAATTCTTCAGAAACTAGAGAAATTATCTACGAGAACTCTAGAGAAACTCTCGTACTGATCAATTAGGACATTCAGGGGAACATTATCAGATCGAGCAGATCGCCCAAATGCCGGTGGCTGCGATAATTTCTCTGTTTCTGAAGAATTTTCGGGACCCATGCTCTTTTCATACTGGATCGCGTGTGCCTTACAGAAACTGAAAAGTTCTTCCTATATCAAAATATAGAAAATAATATTTTGTTATAAAAAGGTTTTATTTTCTTTGCTGATTATTTTGAACATAAAAAATCATAAATCCGTTGCAAAAAAATAATTTCGTGAAAGTGAACTATTTCCTTTAATGAGCTTATAACTTATAAGCATGTTGAGCATAAGTTAACAAATGAGCAGCCCTGAAAAGTCCTGAAAGTGATAAAACCTTGTGATAATGATAATAAGTGAAAGTGATAAATAATATAGCACATCAACATACCATCAAACGCAGAACAGACTGCGCTTCAGCGAAATATCGAACTAGCATCCAAGGACCAAGTGACTGTTCGTCGTGCTAATTGAGTGTAAATATATCAATAAACGGAGTCATTTCCTCATCGGACGCTTAAATCGCTATTCTTTATCCGCACAGCAGTATAAAGTAAAGTAATCTTGCACAGCACCTATATAATATTTGTATATCTAACAGAAAGTGGCACCGGAAAAATACAAATCACCGCATGCAAGGGTGTAAGAAATAAATGTCCCTTCTGCGTCTATTTACAAGACATTTGCTGCTTCGCGGGGTTTTGATGCCATATCTCTCATGAGGATTTCCTTTATTTCTCTACTTTACCTTTATGTCAATGCATGGCCTTGGCATGGCCAGACTATTGATGGAGACTACCGAACCGAACCATGGATGAAGTAGTCTTAATCCTGATCCTAATGCCTAAAGTTGATCAATTTTACACATGCTCTAAAAATTTCATGACCCGGACCCAAGTGACCTTTGACCTGTGACGTATTTCTCGAGACCATGTTTGGCTGGAATCACGGTTCGGCGTATGTCGGCTCTCATTAGCCGCGCGTTTGCAGTCTTTCTTTTCGTGGTTTCAAGCGTTCAAACATTTGATATGATTCTGCTCCCATGCCATTTGGGTGGATGTCAAGGTCACCTGTAGGTCAGGTCAGGCCATTAACGCTTGATGACATTTTTTTCGAGTTTTGCATGTTTCTAGGCTAGTTTTCGAATTTAGCAGCAATTTGAGCATTTATGAAGCATAGTTTCGGTGCCTTCGTAACATGTCACGAAGCTGTCAGAGGCGGTTGACACGTACTACGAATACCCTACTGGTTGACCTGACCTGACCTGACCCGACCTGGCCTAAATGCATAAAGACATCATCTGCATGATCAAAACTAACATGATATTCGTGATCAGCACCTCAAAAACCCGATAGCGGCCACACTTAACGACGTTCTAACAGATCCCGATTTTCCCGACTTTTGGGTCATTGACCTGACCTGGAAGATCAATCAATGACCTATCACCTAGGACCTTAAAATTGGTTATCATCGGCTTCCTTTCGTCACGGACAGCACGCTCATTTTTCCGCGAAGCTCTAGCTCGATCAGGGGCCAAACACGAGGGGGGGGGGGTCCATATCAACCCTTGTGCCGTCGAAGGACACAAAATGGCCTGTGCCGGCGAGGTTTAACCGCCCCACTTTTTTCGCCGTGTTATAGCGCCGAATTCTGGGCATCTCTAGGGAATTGATTGAAGTTTATCGTGAAGATTTAAAAAAGCGATCAGATGATTTTGAGATATTGCGATTTCAGTGACATCATGATTTCTGAGTTTTCGACCAAAACGGCATAAGTTCAAAAATAATCAAGGTAAAATTACAGAACAGATTTACACGCCTTCTGCAAACGCCATTAGACTGCCAATACCATGAACAATCAAATAGCTATCTTCGTTTTTTTTTTGTTCTACATTTTCCAACATCAGGACAGATCTGAATCTTGGCAATTTCTTGTGACTACTTCATAAATATGATGCATGCCATATATTTCTTAAATTGATCTTTTCGATCAAATACATACCTAGATACTCGTATGATAAAAGGAATGCCACAATCGTGTTCTACCCCCCCCCCCCCCCCAAAGTACCCATAAAACATGTCATATACTGCGAATACCAGTTTTGATATTAGGGAATGTGTGCTTTCATGATTGACCTGACCTGACCCTGAACTGTGCAAACTGACCCCTACATGGATCTGACATTCGTGTAGCTTTCGCATGAAGGATTGTCTTGACAGAGTTTATGACGAGAGACGCACACTACGAGGTGTGGAAGTCAATGCTTCTGAAAGCCCAATTTATGCTGTTTGGCCTGGACCTCACCCACTGGCGGATCCAGGCTTGCGTTTTGGGGGGGGGGGGGGGCAACTCATGCTGGAGCCAAACCTAGGGTACCCCCAAATCCTGTTTTCTCATCGGATTTAGGCCACTTATTTTTCGTCACAGCCCCGACACTATGATTTTTTTTTTAACTAGAAAGAAAAATATATAAATGGTAGCCCACCCGACCCATGCCTTTATATTACTTTGTAAGCACTTACCATTGCTTTTGTCGACCAGTTAGCCCGCTTCGAGTCAGTGCTTGGGTCCCTTTGCGGGCCGGGAGGTGGTAAAACACCCCCTGTCTAACTCAGTGACGTACCCAAGGGGGGGGGGGGGGCACGGGGGCCAAGGCCCCCCCTGAGCGCCGAAGGCGCTCAGGGGGCCCCTCAGGCCCCAGGATATTTTTTTTAAACACTGGATAAAACGTCTTTTACTCGGAAGAAAAATTGATATTAAAGTTTCATTTATGTGCCCTGGGTACCCGAGGGGCCCCTGCAGTCATCCAAGGGCCCCCAGTTTCCTGGGCCCCTGGTCGCCTAGGGGGCCTCTGGTAGCCGGGGGCCTGGTCTCATGGGGCCCCTGATAGCCTGTGGCCCCTAGTCGCCTAGGGGGCCCTGGTCGCATGGGGGGCCTCTGGTCGCATGAGGCCCCTGATCGACTGGGGGCCCCTAGTTGCCTAGGGGGCCCTGATAGCCCGGGGCCTGGTCGTATGGGCCCCTGCTAGTCTGTGACCCCTAGTCGCCTAGGGGGCCCTAGTCGCATGGGGGCCTCTGGTTGCATGATATTGAGGCCCCTGATCGCCTGTGGGTATCTAGTCGCCCAGGGGGCCCCTGGTAGCCGGGGGGCCTGGTCGCATGGGGCCCCTGGTTGTCTGGGGCCCCCGGTCGCCCCTAGTCGCCTGGGGGACCCTGGTCGCCTTGGGCCCCTGGTAGCCTGGGATCCCCTGGTCGCCTGGGGGCCCCTGATCGCCTGAGGGCCGCTGGTCACCTAGAGGGCCCCTGGTCGCCTGGGGGCCCCTGGTAGCCGGGGGTCTGGTCGCATGGGGCCCCCTGGTTGCCTGGGGGCCCCTGATCGCTTTGGGGACCTGATCGCATTGGCCCTTGGTCGCCTGGAGGGCCCTGGTCGCCTGGGGCAGTGGGGCCCCTAGTCATCTGGAGGACCTGGTCGCCTGGGAACCCCTGGTCGACTGGGGGCCCCTGGTCGGCTGAAAGTACGCTTATCACCTGATTGATCCCAAATCATCTGAGTGGCTACTGGCTACTGGATATAAGTAGTGACTGAAGTAGGCACTCATCTGAAGGAGCCAATATCTTTCACGGTGCCGGAGATATCACAGAAAAACAAAAAGGCTAAACTGAATACCCCCCAACCTTGGCCCCAAAGGCGTCATTGGCTAACACAGGGATGTGGGTCGATCTGCAATCGCATTTCCTCCTAAGTCCTATTCCTCCAATTAATACAGTGTCCCAGAATTACCCAAACATTTATTTTCTGGCTAAAAGTACAATTGCGCTCGATTCCTAGTGAAACATATAATAGCCGCGTTTACATAGGGCTAGTTGCCAGATAGTGGAATTCCGATAACGAGACATTTATTCCCCACTATTATATTATATACCTACATATCCGGAATTGGAGGATGTTCAGTAATTGAGGCGCTCGCTCATAAAATGCCGTGCGTTTCATGCACACTCCTCAAGCAAAAATATTTTTACTTTCCAATTTTCCACATTTTCTCAAGGCTTAGACCGTTACAGAGACCGTTTTAATTGACTTTGATGAAGTTGAACGCGAGAAATCACAACCAAATGCTACATTAGGTTGTAAAGAACTGAATTGCGTTTTCCCACACACGTGGCGTTTTCTCACCTACGTCTGCAGGAGAGACCGGACCCACTATGCCCCCCCCCCCCACCATCGAAAGGTTCTTCATGACTCCCGGGGGCCCCCGGGGAACCTGGGGGGCCCTATACACTGTGGGGGGCCCCTTCGAAAGCAGGTGGCCCCCTCCTGGGCGAAATCCTGGGTACGTGCCTGGCTAACTCGGCTCCTAGGCCACGCACTGATTGAACTATGTTTCATTATCGTTTGGGGGAGGGGGCAAACGGGCCACTTTAGACCTCTGGGAAGGTGGCATGGCCCTAAATGCCCCCTCCCTGGATCCGCCAGTGTAAGAGACCATTGGAGCTGCAGTTGGGTACCTCAGACGTCAGGGTACGCCCTCAGATGTATAGGACTCGCATGGAGACCTCTTATGCTATAGTGGACTGAAAGGACCCAAAGGAGCCTGTCAAGGGCTCCCGGAGATAGACGTGGGCCCTCAGGAGCCCGCCAGAGCCCCCAATAAGGGATAAGTGAGGCATACCAAGTGCCTGCAATTGCATATTGCATAAGCCATAACGCCTTTACAAATCAATATATTATGTATCAGTGGCAGATCCAAGGGGGGCCACATGGGTCATGACTCATGACCCCCCTTGGTGCCCGGGGGCACCACAGGCGTGTCAGGGGCACCACCGGCCTAGCAGGGGCACCACCAGCCCGCCAGGGGCACCACAGGCCTAGCAAGTAGCAAGGGCACCACGGGCCTGTGAGGGGCCCCACAGGCTTGTCAGGGGCACCCCAGGTCTGTCAGGGACACCAGAGACCTGCCAGGGGCGCCGCCGGCCTCGCAGGGGCACCATGGGCCTGTCAAAGGGGCACCAGAGACCTAGTAGGGATACCACAGGCCTTACAGGGGCACCACCGGCCTTACAGGGGCACCGTGGGCCTGTCAGGGGCATCACAGTCCTGTCAGGGCCCAGGGGCACCAGCGGCCTAGCAGGGGCACCACAGGCCTGCCAGGGGTACCACCGGTCTAGCAGGGGCACCACCGGCCTCGCAGGGGCACCATGGGCTTGTCAGGGGCCCCACCGGCCTCGCAGTGGCACCACCGGCCTCGCAGGGGCACCACCGGCCTCGCAGGCATCACGGCATCACGCAGGCCCTTGGGCCTGTCGGGGGCATCACGGGCCTGTTGGGGGCACTTAAGGCTTGTCAGGGGCACCACAGTCCTGTCAGGTCCCAGGGGCATCAGCAGCCTAGCAGGGGCACCCTAGGCCCGCCAGAGGCACCACAGGCCTGCCAGGGTCCAGGGGCACCACAGGCCTAGCAAGGGCACCACGGGCCTGTCAGGGGCACCTCAGGCTCCCGTGCTACCCCCCCCCCGGATCCGCCAGTGATGCCACACCACGCGAAACACCGCCAACTACCAGCTGCCGCGCCATAAACACGTGCCAACAACAGTCTTTTTTTGAAGGTCGACTCCGCTCGCGCAACTTTTGACTGACCCTCACTGCTACCATATTGCTTCCATATTATGCTGTGGAAACTTTACTTCACCAAGTGGCTAAAAACCTCCATCAAGGTATATTTTCTTAGAAATTTTTCTGACGTTTTGGGGGGGCCAAACAGGCCACTTTAGGCCTTTGGGGGGGGGGCCATGGCCCCCGTGGCCCCCCCCCCTGGATCCGCCAGTGAGTCCTCACCCGACCTGTGACCTCAAAATTCAACTTTCAAATAATCATCTGAAGCGTCGTACCGCTTTCTTTCGTTTGCTACCTAGTGCGTTTCGCTGCATCTATTGGTTCTCAAATCTCAAGTTATCGGCTGAGGGCGTTAAACCCTCACCACCACCCCCCCCCCCACCCTAGACAAACGGCGGGTGGTGAAATACCTCAGCAACTGCCGGTTTAAAGGAATAGCATAAAATCATGTTTTCTGCTGTAAAATTTACCCGATGATAATGGCGCTCACCAAGCTTTCGTCAGTATTTCACTATAATAATATCTGTTTCACCTGCAGGTAATGTTGATAAAATCAAAGAAACAATTGTGTCATGAATAAGGGCAGGGGCGCCGTATCTACCCTGGGCATTTAAGACGGTTTGTTAGGGAGTTAGGACGGCTCTCCCCTACCTACCTACCACGAGATCCCATATAAAGACCTCACTTCGAGAAGTTCAAGCAGGCCCCGATTTTCCCGACATTTGGGTCACTGACCTGACTTGAAAGGTCAACCAATGGACTAGGACCTTTAACTTTGATGTCATATTAGCTCCCTCTCGTTAATTCAAAATATATTAGTGCTGTTCATGGCAGGTATCATGTATTGGTCACGTTCCGTTACAACGAAGAATACCTATGCGAAGCTCTGGGAGAAATATGAAGGCTTCGGCAATCAGCATATCATCTGTTTCAAGACCTTCTGTTTTTAGTTGAGTGTCGACCTTTGTGGTCGTTTTGTTCCCGTGTTATGAGAGAAGCATATGGGAAAAACTGAAGCAGCAAAATTAGCTAACTTAAACTGTAAAACGGTTAATTCCTGTCGATTCTCTCAAAACCACACCAAACAGCATGCTATGACTGATATACAAGACCTTAATTGAAGATTATTGCTAAATCTGCAAGTAACGGGACCTATGGCAAGCATTAGGTATGCCCAGATCATTAGGTAGGTAGTCTATGCGCAATGCACATAGACTAGCCTCATTTTTTCCTGGACGGCCCTGCCACAGTAGACTGTCCCGCAATACACCGGTGTATGCCGGGAAGCCTACCGTGCAGGCGTTCCGCCCGTTCGCTCCCACTATCCCACGGCTTATCTTAATCTTTGCTTATCTCAGGTGCCGTTTGGGTAACATAGATAGAAACCGATCTCTATTTGCTATTCGAATGGTTTTGACGTAAACACGAGCTCGCCAGTAGCTATCGAAGTATAAAAAAATGATGGAAAGGAGGCGTTTGAAATGAAAGCAGCGTGTATCACTCAAGACCTCGAAGTACTTAGAACGTTTGATGTAAGTCAAGCTAAAATTGTAAGCTAGTTTGCTCCCTTAAGATGCTAGGACGATAAAGAGTGTCTTAACTTATTTTTGTGAGCAGTTAATTCCTTTTAATACATTTAAAAGATTTGCGTAAGCCAAAAACGGACACTGGCTGTGACAAACCTTTTGTACTTTACCCAAACAAATCAAAACCACATTAAATGGCAACATTTTTAAACTGCATTGACTGAGCGAAACATACCCCCCGCTCAATACTTTAGCCTTCAACTATTTTCCTTTTATAGTTGTAAGTCCTTTCAAGGAGCAAACAAGTCAACCCATAAACAAAATGTCAGAGCGTTTCAGGTCTCTCCTAAAAAGTCACAAAGGTTTACACAAGTTAATGAGGTAATGTAAACTAAGCTTATGTTTTATGTGCGTAGATATGTGCTACCTATTTACACTACTATGCACTTGTTGAGACCATGCAGCTTATGTTATTTCGCATCCGTATTTTACAACACACACCATGCTGTTTGGATCGCCCGAAACGTCGCGAGCGAGCAGCTGGGTTTCCGCAATTACTGAACGTGTCGTGTAGCCGTGTTTTGGTTAGTGACCGTGTCCATATGTACGGGAGTGTCGTTTTTATATACGTTGTCTGGAAACACTCCACCAAGTCTGGAGCAGCCGGTGCCAGCGCTCCAGAAAGTCCGTGCCTTGACGCCCCGGGAAGCCAGTGTTTCGACCATACGAAGCGCACACAGACACAGGCACAAACACTGTACACTGTACACACACCGGGCCGCATCGTCAGGTTTATTAAATCTCCGGGATCACATGATGAATGAGTGAATCTAGAGCCGGTGGCCCACGCCAAGCCGGGGGTAAAATGCAGATATTGAGACTAACCTATAAGAGCCCACTACCGAAGCGATGCACCACCGCCAGCGGACACCGGAGGGGAAACCGAGGCTGCGAGAAACTCTACGTGTGAACAGGCATCTTTACGTTTTGTGAACTAAATTAAGCAAACAATTACTAAGTTTGAAAATCGCACACTAATAGGATAGGAGGTATGCATGTGCACACATTATGTAGAAGAAGCATTGCCTGGCTAAGTGCATGTGCTTTACTAAGAAAATTATTCAATACAGTTTATCTTTTCGGCAAAGAAAGTTTCTCGGCCGGTGCTGCCATTCCGCTCCGCTGACGGTACTGCCTCCTGCTTCCTGCCGCTACCGACTAAACTAGGTTAATATAGTAGAAAAAAGAACTTAACTACAAACTAACGATAAAGGCAATCAATGCAGTGCATCAAAACATGTTTGCGATGAGCTGCTGTACATCATTGGCAGGATGTCATGGCTTGTAGCGACAACATCGCAGCGCCAGTGGATCCTGCACCGACCGCTCTACCGGCTCTCAGAAAATCATTAGTCAATGCGGTAAAATGATTAACTTTGAGCAGTCAAATGAAGACAGAGGTAAAAGTCTACCATAAAATTTGGCCGTGTAGAGTTCATTGAAGGATAAACTCATGCATTTCCGTGAGAAATAACCCGGCAACGGTCGGTGCCGACTCCACTGATGCGACACGGAGCAGTCATCATTGATGGAAAAATTATAAAGCATTATGACATGAATGATGAGTGAGCTGCACTGAGTCGGCCGACCGGCTGCCCCGGATGGGAGGCCGCCGGTCGGCGTGTCAGCGCCGCCGCCCGCCGCCCGACCCGGGGCCCAGGCGCCCGGGGCAGCGCGGCGGGCGCAGTCTTTATATGTACATGATGTGAAAGCGATGGTACAGTCGGACACGGTCTCCAACACACGACAGTGGCGCCGAGCCGCTGGCGGCTACACAGCTCGTGCACAGCGCGTATGTACACACAGACGCACACACACAAACATACAGACACGCACGCCGCCAAAGGCTCTGGCTCGCCATCACAAAAAGGCGGCGGCACGCGCACAGATCCAAAGCAGGAGATCTCGTTCAGGCGCCGCCCGCGTACATACTCACTGCGTGCCGGAGCCGCCGTCTCGGGTCGGCTGGTCGGCCCTCGTCGCCGGAACAGTGCAGCAGCGGGCCACCGGCGGCGTCCGTAATGCCTCCCGAGAGCCCGTGCGGCGCACCGCTGCATCACCATCCGGCTCTCTGCGCCGCCGCTGCCGCCATCCCGCTGCTGAGGCTCATTTGATATATCACTGTCTCTTCCTTTTGTTCCTTCCCTTTCCGTTCGGCTTTGCCACTAAAGGAACCACGTTGCGTACCGGCCCATTTCGCCCTGGGCCTGGCCCATCTCGGTTCTTAGGCAATGACGAGCTGACTTGGCGTTCGTATTACGTGTTGGCACAGTGGGACCGTAACAGCCAGGTCGATTGCCCATTTCGTTCAGCAGCTCATCAAACTCCTCTGATGACATGGCAAGGGTCTTACAGCCCGGGCCCCTCTCGTTATCTCGGAACAGTTTGAAATTGCTCGGAGCTATTTGGAGATACCTGCTCGCGGCAGCCCGGGCCGTGGAATTTGGTGTACCGACTGCCGTGTCAGAGGTCTATAGTCTGTCATAGTTGAGCCACAGCCGAGCCACAGCCGAGCGAGCCACCGGAACTCACTGCAGCTCGCCTCTCTGCGCCGGGAGTACCAGAACACCTTCCTCCCGGTACCCGATACACCCTCCCAGCCCCGGGGTGCTGCCGCCGGCGACCCTCAGCAGTCAGCACCCCTCAGCGCTGTTCGCCTCGCCTCACCGGCCGGCCGTCTGACCTTTGCTACCGCGGTCAGAATGTTCGAGCTCTTCGATCTTCTTCACAAGGTGCTTGGCTGCGAACAGACAGAAAATCGCACGTAATTATGACAGACTTGGCAGATGAAAAAAATGGTGGAGAGGAGAAGAAACTGGCATAGTTACAGTGAATGTCAAAGTCATTGTTTCGTTAACCAAACTGACGGTTTAAGGTGTTTTGTGTGACGTCACGTGACTGTATCAGTCATAAATTTTACTGCCGTCCTCGCCATGCATCGATAACCGCAGGCCGCCGCAAGTCGTTATACAAGTTCCCCACCTATCTACAAACTCCATATTACCCATAATCAAACCGAAGTTCGGCTAATCACGCTCATGAGGTCGACTGAATCTCTCCTGATAAATGACAGGTAATCGATCGCAGCCGCTGCGAGTGAGTCGAGCTCAGCGGACATCCGTCAGCCCCCATCGCGGCACGGAGCCATTTAGCCAGCCGACCTGAAGGACCGGCCGCCGGAACATAATTCCGAGTTTGCGCAGGCCGTCCGATGCGGGCGATCTGTGATTAATTTCGAGTCTGCGAGGCCGTCCCGGAAGCGCACCCGCTCGGGGAATTGGATTACCAATGTGTCCTACAGCCGCTTCAGGCTGACATGTTGCTCCATTGAGATGCATGGCATCGGTGACGCGTGCCACGCTGTCCATTTAGAATACCCCAGCACCGGGGAGTTTTCAAATGGACTGACAGGCAAAATTACATTTTTTGCGAGGCTGACTTCTCCCGGGAAGCTGCAGGTGCCAGTGAATGGTAATCACCGTCTGAGCTGCTGCTGGGATACTGAACAGCCATACTTTCCTGGGTTTCAGCACAGCTACGCTTGGTTCGTGGAATAGCCGCGGGGCCCTAATGCACCAAGTTCCCAGAACCTCAGTAGCCCCACAGCGTCTTTCCAGGCATTCAGCAGATATGCTTTTCGCATTAGTTTATATGTACCGAAGAGATGCGAACAGCGGAGCCGTCGCCATTGAGAACACACTTGCATAACCTTTGGCTGCAGGTAAAATCCATTATATTAAATAGCGTTTGCTCGCTAATCTTTGACCATCGCCTCCAAAATGGCGGCCGATCCCGCCGCTCTCTTACCGTACTGCATCCGTTTCAGTTCGGTGAGGTGCTGCATGAGCCTGCTGGTCAGCCTGCTGAAGTCCTCCCGGCCGGCGTTCTCCACGGCGCGCCAGTAGACGTAGTTGCCGTACTGATCCTGACACATCTCGAAAAACTCTCTGAAACGGTGCAGGAAAAAAAAATGCATTCCAGTGAGTCGACATTCGACGGAAAGGCTTACGGCGAGAAAAACACGAAAATAGCAACAGAGTAAGAGCAATACACCTGGAGGAATGTGATAACCTAACGGCGGTCTATATGATAAGCAAACACTAAAACAGTTGTATAGTTATTGGCCCGTATGGGCCTTAAAGACCATACGGGCAATCTTATTTCGGCTAAGTTTTACCCGCACACTTTGAAAGGGCTGTAACGCATCAACGCATCACACACTGCACGGGAACTTGGGTATCGCCTTTACTGAATACAATCATGAAACACGAATTGGATTACACAAGTTTCGCCATCGAAGTTCGAAGAAGCGTTCGAGTGTGTGGGGCGTATGTATACGGAATGAAGGTCGTCCAATTCCCATCTGCGAGTTACGGCCGTGTAGTGAGACCAAAGAGTTCAGCGGCACGCCCCGGTAACCGCCCCGACCGCCTAAAGGGACAGCGGCAACGAGCAGCAATTCGCCCGAATGGCGGCGCAAAGTGACGGCTATCGTTCCTTGAACTGACTCGCACGCGCCTTATGTACCCACGGGGATGCTTACCCCATGGAAATCGACCCCTTTGGCTCAGCCTAGCTACTTCTACCAAAACGCTAGCATTTTTTAGCATCTAGAAACTGAGCGCTTCCATGACCTACTCCGCTAGTCCGTAGAATAGCGCAGTCGAGTTGAGGACAGTGAATGAAATGAAACTAGCACTGAAAGTGCTCCCATAGAGATATTCTCCTCGTATATCTCTATGAATAACATCTCTGCCGTTCTGCACTTCCCGACAACAACAGAATACATCTGACCTCTCGGGGTTCCATCAGGCCATCTGTCGGCCCTGCCCTCCCCAGCCCCTCCATCCTCTCCATCGTCCTGCAGTGACGGAGCTCTGCAGAGAGCCAGCTGAGACCGGCGCTGGTCCCGCGTCCCGTTCGGCCGGTACAGATGAGAGTTCCCATTAGGCCGGGACCAGCGCGCCCGGCTAAAAAGCCAGGCGATGCGCTCGGGCGTAGCCGAAGACTGACGGTGAGCGAGCGATGGTGGAAGGACAATGGATGGCACACCGGGTGGACGATGGTGGACAGCGTGGACAGGGTGGTTGGACGAGGTGGACAATGTGGAAAGGGTATAGTTGGACAAGGTAAGTTATTTGCAAGTTGCAACACTATGGTAACTATGTGGAGTTTGATACGGTGAATAGTAAGCAGGAGTATCGGCAAGTTCAGTAAATATTGGGACGTGGATGTCGGATGATGACGGACGTGTATCGTATCCGATCCATGCAGCAGTCAGCGATAGAGGAAATGATCTACGACGGACGAATACGGCGATTGATTTGGCACACGCGTAAAGCGATACAAGTAACTTATAATTTCAAAAGAACGGTATTGACGACTCGGACTGTAGAATATGACAAACGAATAAATGACCTTGTACGATTTCCATAATGCTCAGCCAGGCTCCTTTCATAGGCTCAGCCAAAGCCGTGGTTCTTGTGGAGTGGTCTGATATGCCTGTCTACTTAGAACTGGCGATTTGGGAAATAAGACCCAGTATCAAGGTCTCGCAACACACGAAACCGGTGCCTGAATTCACGGTAAATTTAACTAAACCTCAGTTTTACATTCCATTTTAAATGTAAGCGTATAGTAAAACACTTTGGAGTACGGATTATCAAGAGCCTGTCAGAATTTCCATGCATCTTGACGCCATAGTAATTTCACTCACTTTCCTAGTGCTCTTTCAAAACAGCCCATCTCTTCGGCCGAGCGCCGTCATCATTTCAGCACCGCCCGAGCTCTCACTACCAGTGCACCCACCACTCATCCCTCCGCCCCCGCCTCAGCTCTGCAACGGCCTCTGCCGTGACCGTGCACCCATCCAGTCCCACCCTCCACCCCACCCCACCCACCCCATCTCATCCAACTCCCTCCATCCCGACTCACTGGTCGGTGAAGGCCAGGACCTCCTCGATGAGCTGCTGTCGCGTGTCGGCCGGCGCGTACTGCAGACACTTCTCCACGAACGGACTGCAGTACTTGTTGCGGGAGCCGTGCAGTACCCGGCCGCGCAGTCTCTCGGCCATTCTCCGCCGGTCCGGCTCGGCGCCGAACTGGACGATGTGCTGGGCCACGTAGTTGGCGTACTGGTCGTAGAGGAGCCTCTCGCTGCTGAGCGAGTGCAGCTCGTCGACCAGCGGACGGGTCTGCTCCTCGGCAGCGTGCTCCAGCAGACGCTGGATCACGCGGCACCCGTAGGCGTTGGCCGATAGGGTGCCCATGTGGCCGCGGAATGCACGCACCATCAGCTCCGGGATCGGATTCACCGCCTCGAAACACTTCTGGATCACGTGGTTACCGTTCTGGTCCCGGCACAGTCTGACAACGTGACCGTCGAACTCACGAGTGACCTTCGATAGTTGGCTGTGGTCGAGAGTCTCCAGGGCCTTCTGCACTACGCGACAGCCGTACATTTGTACGGACATCTCCACTATGTGGCCCTGCATTCGCTGCAGTAGCGTGGCGCGTTGTTCTGGCGTACCGAGCTCGAACAGCTTCTGGATGACATAGTTACCGAACACGTCGTCCATCAGGGTGAAGGCGTGTGGCGCGATCTCGTCGAAGGCCAGCCGGCGCCCCTCGTCTGCGGCGTGTTCGAGCCGCTGCTGGAGCCAGCGCGAGCCGTGCTGGTCCTGGGAGAACTCCACCAGGTGACCGGCAGCGTCGCGGATCTGCAGACCAGGCAGCTGGTTGTTTCGGAACTCCTCGAGGAAGCGGCCGCGCGCGGGCCGTCCGCCGGCGCGGCTGGAGTGTCCCCGGCGGCTGGACTGCGGCTGGCTGGCGGTCAGCAGACCGGCGGCCTGGGCTGTCTGAAGACCAGCCAGACCCAGAGGCCGGGCCCATAGGGGCTCCAGCTCCAGACCAGTGGGCATCCGCGCGGTCACAGACGTCAGTGGAGCGCCCAGGATGTTCTGAAAGCCGGCCATCGAGAGCGCCAGCGGCAGAGACTCTGGGAAGGCAGTGATGGTGGGGTGATGTCAGAGGAAGCAAATACAACGCCTAAACATCGAGAAAAATGGTCCGCTTTCGCTATACCTATTTCAGGGAAAATAAACTTCATCAGTTGCAATGCAATATATCCTGGATTAAACGAACAAATTATTTCCGACATCATATTGCGTAGCGATAGTTTATGAAAGCATTTCACAGACCGTCTACGGACTTCGTCCATTTTCAACCAGGATATGGTAGCTTAGACCTCGAGTAGCAGGCGAATGCCGCACACACGCGAGTGAGGCCATGCACATTGCACATAATACGACCTGAGTCGGTCGGAACACGACACCTCGTGCGCCAGTTTGGCGGCGACCGGGACCGGACGAGGCGCCACCTGCGGTCCAGTGTCGCCATCAAGGACAACCGGTGCACGGGAAAACATGGCAGGCCGCCGCATTGTTCCATAAACCGGCGTGAGACCGACCAGCGCCATTCTGCGTGCAAATTTGGAGCTGTGGCGAGTGCCGTCCTAATGATGGAAACAAAATTAAAACAGTCCTTATCGCGGTTTACACGGCAGACGGATCCGCATGAAGAACCGTTATGTTAGGTAAACCGTTGAATGGTTTCCATAGAGATAAACAGTTACACAGGTACCTATACACGGCTAAAAGTTTTGGACATCATTGAACCCTGTGTGCATCACATCATTAAACGTCAGCTCTAAGTGTAATATCATGAATTCCGTCCATAACAATTTTTCATCTCAAGCACCAATAATAAAACGTCGCCGCCAAGCCGGCCATCATGAGAGGAATTCGCGTCATGCGGTCATAAGCCAGCCACGTCCTCCCTCGGCCGCTGGGGGCCGGAAGCGGGCAGAACGGGGCCGTCCTCCATCCGACCGCCATCAATCTCCGACACATGAGTTCAATCTCCTTTTTGAGCCGGCTGCCGTTTGCGTAATCGAGCCGGTCCGTCAGCTCGAACAAAGGCCGTGCACTGCTGCACGACATTCGGTGCCGGCCGACCCGCCGCGGCTCAGCCGGCAGTGCCACATCGCGGCCGTGCTCACAACCGGTTTTAATAACCAATTTCGTCAGAGCGGAAACAGGTTTTCGAGTTTCCTCACAATTTTTAGCGAGCTGTGGCTTGCAGAGCGAGGCCGGTCCGGTGAGCAGGGGCGGCGGAGCGGCGGCGTCGTGTGAGGGGCCCCTGTCCGAGCTAAGGATCGTGGGATGGTCTGTATAATCTGTAAACTGTGACGCCGGTAGTGTGAAGATTCAAGAGAACTTGACTACCAACGATAATGCTTGAAGCCTCTCATTTCTCAAACTCTATTAGGAAAATTGAGCAACGTTGATTGAGCACTTCCTTTCCGCATTGCAAATGGTTACAGGCCACCAACGCACGACAAATGAAGAGAGGGCGTGCCGTCGGTAGAAAGGCTTCCTCAAAGGGTACCACCGCCCCGTCGATATCCCCACTCTCCCAGCGTGACAGGAGTGAGGAGGAGCCCCCACCCGAGCCCTGTGCCGCCCCTCCGACCAGCCGTGTTGTTACAAACACACCTCTGCACCGGCTGCGGGGATACGTGGACAGGAAACAGCGCGTATCACCTGCCCGATCTCCGCCCGCTGCGGCACCCAGTTCCGGTTACAGCTCGTGCAGCACCGGCCCGGCATGTAAGCCGTGTCCGGCGCGGCTCGGCGTCACACTCACCTCCGGTGACACCTCCGTCCACAGAGGCGCCGGGCGGCGGCACCACCAACCCCTGCGCGCCGCCGCCGGCCATGAAGCCGGGCACGGCGCCGCCGGGAGGAACCAGCGGCGGCATCAGCCCGGCGCCGCCCGGCACGGCCCCCAGGAGACTCAGTCCCGGCAGCGCCAGCGGCTGCTGAGACGGCAGCAGGTACGGCAGCTGCCCGGCGGCTGCAGCTGCTGCTGCCGCCGCGGCCGGGTCCGCCTGGGATACCTGACCGTCTGCGCCGCCCAGCATTGGGAGGTAGCCGACGCTGGTGGCGGGGTAGCCGCCTGTGGAAGGGGATGGTGCGGTCAGGTGGGGTAGACAGGTGGGGTGCGATTGAAACGAGCGGACAGGTGACACGGTTGCAGGTGAGGGCTAACGAGTGAGGAATGCGACTCAAGGCCCGACATTGACGCGAGCAAGAAGACACAGTGATGTAGACAGGGAAGGCATCGACATAAATCAGACTAACACATTGACGGACATGATCAGAGAACATCAAAAGATCAGCACTTAACGCCAGTTTCGATACAGATTGCCAGACAAAACTGTCACACCTCATGTCAGTCGTTACATAACCCTCCACGTCGATCACACCTCGAGTGACCTTGAGATGGGTCACCGTGCCAGGTCACGTAAGGTGGGTCACGTGAACTGGGTCGTGAGTTACATAGGTCACACCTCCTGTGACCGCCAGGCGGGTCACGGGGCGCAAGTAACACCCTCCCCCGGTCCATGGCGGGTCTCTGCCCGGCAGCCGAGCAAGCCGGTCAGTCAGCAGCCGAGTCAGCCGTCCGGCCGTTCCACCGAGCCCCGAACGTGATCCCGGCGGGACACGTCAGCGCTCACGGCGCCCCAGCCGCTGTGATCGCTGACGGTCAGGTATGCCAGCTCCGAGCTCGGCTTCCGTGAGACGGCCGAGCTCGGCGGCGACACAGGAGCTGCACCGGCGCCGGCGGGGCGGGCTGGCACGCCAGAGGCGCCGTGGGGCGCGCGGGGGACATATGGGCCGCGTTTGAAAAAGGTGACGTTGTGACGCGTAAGAAAGCGGCCAAGGTGATGTTTGAGGGCACGGAACAGCTGGAGGATGCCGAAGCCGGCGGGAGAGGGTGGGGAAGGACGGTAGCGCCGGACGAATAGGAGCGACTCTCAGCAGCGGCAGGCTGACACTGATAACAAATAGCAACTGCATGGCAGGTGGAGCAAGACAGATCAGCCGGGGCACACGCTGTCAAAACACAGGCCCGGGTCGGAATATGGGCATCACCCCAAGCCCGCCACAACTCTCTGACAGTACAAACAAACACACTTGTGGAAACAGAGGGGGTCGGGGCAAACCAGGCCGGATCGAAACACGCCGGCTGTTCTACGCCCGTCGAAACCGGAACCTCGCGGCGCGGTTAGTTCGGCCGACATATCGGGTGCAGAGCCGGCTGACCCTGGTCCAGAGATCAGGTGCGGCGCGGCCGGCCTGCCGGCTCTCGTCGGACGGCGGCGCTGACGGCGTGAGATGCCAGTCAACGGTGATCCACGCCCGGTTCGCCGACAAAAAGTCGCCGCCCGAGAGAATACGGCTCGCAAAAACCGGACCAGCGCTCGGCCGGCCGGCCCAGTGTCGTCCGGTGGTTGACCTGCCGCAAAAAGGCCCGTCTGACCCGCCGACCCGGTTCCCGTCGGACGGGCGGCGGCGCTCAGCGGCGGCGGACTCACCTCCGAGGTAGGCAGCCATGGCGGCCTGCTCCTGTCCCGGCGCCAGGTACGACGGCAGACCGAACCCGGCCGCTCCTCCCGACAGCGCTGCAACAGAGATACCGGGGGCGGCGGTCAGCGCGGCCGATTCCGTCGGACCGCCCGGCATGCGTACGATGATGCAGCGATGGGAGGCCGCTGCCGCTGGAAACGTGACCGCACAACGGGACCTGTCCGGTTCGGCAGAGGATTATCGGCGCGGAGTGGCTCTGTTTCAGGAATTGGTCTCGGTCTCAGTCACGTGCCGCCCGCCGGGGGAAGGGGTTCGCCGGCTCTCGGCAGTGGTATTAATGTGTGCCATTCTCGGCCACAACAGTCAGACAGCCATAAATTCAATTGTCGGGTCGACCGTCCGCGGCTACCCTGCACGTGTTGAGCCCCACCCAGCGTCTCCAGTGTCCCGAAATTAATTGTGCTGGCTCGAGTGTCACGGTTGGGAATGAAAAACACTTGGAACTTGTAGAGGATGTGGAGGCAAAAAAGCAAGCATAAATTGAGGAGTTACGAGAAAATAATGAGACAAACTGCAGTTCTTGAAGAGGAATATGCAAATTGCACTAACGTCTCTTCTCATGTAAAACGCTCTGCTTATTTTAAGCCCTAAGTGAATAAATAAAGATCTTAGCTACAATGGAAACAACGAAAAATATTGTCTCTTTGGATATCACGTTGGGTCAGTGATCTCGCACAACGGTCAGTAGTCAGGTCAGTGACCTCTCTGACCGGTCATCTCCATAAATAACGTCATAAACATGCTACACCCACATCAGTGTTATGTAATCCCCAGATCGCAGATTCACCAGCTGGTGGTCGGGCGTGCGTCGAGAATAAATCACAGATGTGCGCGGTGCGGTCACCGGCACAATGTCGCAGTTCGAGCACGCGCTGTGCCGGTGGCTGCGAACTCTGTGTGGCATGCCTTCCCCCCGTGACGTGCTCTGCGAGCTGTACCGGACAGTTAGAGAGGACACTGTGCACGGGCAATCCGTCACAAAACTGTCACTGTTCAGTGTTCGGTTACGGCCTGCAGTTTAGACCAGCAGCCGAGACCTACAGATATTTTATGAAAACCAAAACAATTTAAAAATACTTTTGGAAGACTTACTGAGACAGCTCTGGCGCTTGCTTATCTCTCTCGCTATACAATTGGACCCTCGGAGTAGGCCTGGGCCCGCTCGCGTATCCCGCGGTCAGCGGTGACCCGGCGCCGGCGCCGGACGGAAGGCTCTCATGACAGGAAGGTCTGCCAGTTCCGACACTGACGACAACCGCACCTGGCACCGCCGAGTGACGCATCGATTCACTGCGACCGCAGACGGTGGCTCGGTCAGACTCGCCGAGCAGCACATGCATATTAAACTCACCGAACCATGAGGAAACAGTTCAGACTTGGACGATCTCCCAGCACTGGCTTCTGCATATCAAATTAATTGGAAAGAAACATACATAAGGTCCAAAATTAGACCGATGTTAACTTTGTTTTTTTACGTGATGTCTGAAAACCAAAAGCCGTAAACCCTTACGATCTCGTTCCACCAAGAATAATAGCCCAGAAGTTCAGATTTGATATCTTTCACAACCCTTGAGATGTCCGCTGGGCCGTACCAATCAGCGTCATCGTCACGGCGATGACGTCATCGTCACGGGCTGCGTCACGCAGCACTTTCCACGTCGGTGGTGCCACGCCGCGAGAGGTCACACTCCACATATTCACAAAGGAAGAGACGCCACAACGGCGGAAAGTGAAACGACGCCGGCGGTGCGGCCGGTGGGACCAGCGCGGTGTCTCCAGCCCCGACCTCCCGTTTTGTCACGCTGATCTCTGGTCTCGCCTCCTGTATCCGGATCCAATGGGAGGTGAGCCGGGCAGACAGACACCGGAGCTCCCATGCCACTCTCTTTAGCCGGACATACCGACCGTGCGGCTCAGCGGGCGCGGCGGCCAGAGGTTTCTGAAGATCACGGTACCGTGGTGAGCCGTTTGCTGCAGTTAAGCCCGACCCTGAGCCGGGCAGACGGGCGCCTTTGTGGAGCACTCAGCGACAGAAGTGGTGCAGCATTAGCCAGTTAACTCCGGTGCAGCCCTGGCCTGTTCGTGGTCGGACTACAGCCCGTGGAGCTGAGGGACTCGCAGTGGGCAGTCGGGGCTGAGGGGCTCGGGCGGTGGGAAGTCGGGGCTGAGGGGTTCGGTACTGAGGGACTTGGGCGGTCGGCAGTCGGGGCTGGGGGTTCGGCATTCAGGGCTGGGCGGTCGGCAGTCAGGGCTGGGGGTTCGGCAGTCAGGGCTGGGGGTTCGGCAATCGGCAGTCAGGGCTGGGGGTTCGGCAGTCAGGGCTGGGGGTTCGGCAGTCAGGGCTGGGGGTTCGGCAGTCAGGGCTGGGGGTTCGGCAATCGGCAGTCAGGGCTGGGGGTTCGGCAGTCAGGGCTGGGGGTTCGGCAATCGGCAGTCAGGGCTGGGGGACTCGGTCGGTGGGAAGTCGGGGCTGAGGAGCTAAGGGGCTCGGTAGTCTGGGCTGAGGGACTCGCGGTGGGAGTCGCGGCGAAGGGGCTCGGGCGATTGACAGTCAGAACTGGGGAGCCTCGTGGAGCCTCTGCCGCTGTCGTGACGGAGCCCAGCGGTCGTAACTCAGTCCGGCCCCCTTGCCAGGGCATAAACGCCTGTCGCACGACGTCTGAACGCAGCGCCTCGGAAACTTGGGACGTTAGCCGGATTTATGGCTCGAATATGATGGAGCTGTCTCCACAAAAGCAGACTGGAACTCATGGCGGTTGGAGGGAGGGGAGGGCCTGCCCGAATGGGAAGATGGGCAGGCCACTCCGAACTTGAGCCAAAGCCATGGAAGAGTTCGAGCTGCCACCGCCAGCCTCGAAGTAGCACTAATCCCATTCGGATCGACTTCAAAGCCGTTCGAAAACGAAATAAGCCGGCTGGTTGCGTCGTCGCCACCTCCGTCATCAATCATTCCACTCGAGCGGGCCGCTGAGCTCGGACAAAAACGTCGGCCTGTTCGTCGGCCGAGCGGCATCTGCGCGGCCGAGGCTGCCTCGTCCGGGGAAAACAGAGCAGCCGCTATGGGCGGCCGCGCCGACAGCGCGTCTCCACTGCGAGCGGCGCCTTCTGCCTTCTCCGCTGGCCTCCCAACATCGATCTACTTTGGGCGCTCCCGACAGCGGCGACGCGGCCAACCGAGCGGCAAAACCTCGGCGCCACCATGGGCGCCGATAGAATGTGGCGAGCCGATATGAAGCGGCTCGCTCTGTTCTGACAGCAGAGCTATGGAGTCGCTCCGGCGCGGCCCGGTGCCCCAGAAAAAGGCGAGAAAGGCCGACCATAAACACAGCGCCGCCAGCCAGATGCAACCGAGCATTTTGATGCGGGAGCTAATCTCATTTCCTAATAACTAGCACCGTATTAATACCAGGTTTCCATCTTCCTTTAAAATGAGTAGTGGATCTATCAACATTTTCTCGCTAGCGTGCTTCGTTGAGTGATACCATGCTTACGTCTTCCCATATAAATTCTTCCGGCGTGCTGCAATAAGCAGCCGTGCGTGAAAAGGTGGCGATGAGCTAGATTCCGTCCAGCGCCGGCGCGGTGGCGCGCGCTGTGCGGGGAGAAGCCGCCACCGTCCGGCGGGATGACACCGCGCCTGATGACGGGACGGGGCCGCCGCCGGTGCTCCGAGGGAGTCCGAGGGGGCGTAATCCCCGCCAGCCGCCGGCGGCAATACCGGGCCGCCAGTAATAACGGCACGGCTGGTCGGCATTGCCGCGCGGCTCCTGGGGCGCCGGCCGAGCCGGGATTTATCAGCGCCGGACGGGGTCACTCGACAATAGCGGCCGCCCCCGGCCAGCGACGCACGGTTCAGTGGATTCAATGGGTCCACACTCACAGGCTCTCATGCAGACCACCAGTCCACTTACCAGACCAAAGGCTGACCCGTCGCCGGTGGTGCAGGGGCTCACACCTCTTGGTATGTCAGAGAGATGTGACATACAGATGTCAGAGAGATGTGTACTCGTAGTATCGAGGACGTGCTTTGCTCGCCTGGGACGTGACGGGACCGATGATGGTCGGTCAGTCCTCAGATCTCTACGAGGAACCACCAGAGACCACCAGGGACTGTCACAGGGGATTCACTGCTCCGTGCGGTCCAGTTCGGCGCTGGGTTGATGATGACCTCCCAGCGCACCATTGATCGTTCTCAGCTCGCTGCCGGACGCCGCGGCCACGTCCATCGTCTCACAGCGGCGGCCGGCCACATGCATAATGAGCTGCCGGCGCCGGATGGACCGCGGAAACTTCCGGTCCGCGTCGGCGGAACGGGGTGTCCCGTCCTCTCACTCCGCCCCTCCTCTCTCACTCTGCATCCGTCGCCGACTCCGACTCCCGAGTCGGACAGTGAGTCGCGCAGTCCGCCAGTAGTCGCAATTCGAGTCCGAGTCCAACTTCGAGTCGCGGCCGGTCCGACGTCGGCACAGTCGCTATCGAGTCGTGGCCGCGCTGTGTCGCGACGGATCGTAAATTACCGCTATCTCGGCGAGCGACTGGTCATTACCGGGCCGCCAGCGCGCGTGCCGCCAGAGGACACCGAACAGAACAGCCGAGAGGACAGCATGGGACGGAACAGAGGAGGTGTGGAACTGAGGGGACAGATAAGCCGAAGGGACAGGAGAGGTCAGAACGAGACGGGACAGAGGAGACCGGGATAGGCTACACCAAAGGGACAGGAGAGGACAGAATGGTACGGGACAGGACAAAAGGAACAGGGTAAGTAGAACGGTCGGAGCAAAAAGTAGAGATAAGAGTTAAACGAGAAATAGAAAACATCTTTCAATGGAAAGTAAATAAGACGGTACAATATGACATCGCAGACGATTTCATCCGACTCCAAGATGCGTCGAAGACATGAACGACAAAAAGGTGAGATAAATAGGTAACATAAATTGAAAATAAATTTTAAAAGCCTAAGCAAGACACCTATGCCTGAAGATCCGCTCAGAAGGACTGCCATGTCAGAACAGCCAATTTGTGCGATAATTAGAATGTCATTGGCGTGGCTGTGAGACAGGTGCCAGCCAATTCTGTCAGTTGTCACTCTCTGACTTGCGGTGCCATCCGGACTGAGGCGTCACCACGGCGGCTGACTGTATCGTCTGACGGTCAAAGGTCGCATGGTCCGGTTGATTTGATTGGTCGGAAGGTCAAACTGTTTTAGAACGAGGATACGACGCTGTCAATACTGATGATGCTGATTGATGATGAAATTTGGGACGCCTGCGGAAGCGTTGGGCGCTTTTATGCCCTAGAACAGTTCAAATATTCCATCAAAGAAATAAGACAGAGCCTAGCAATTGCATTGGAAAGTGCGAACCAAAACATTCGAACAGCTGCGACAAAGTGATAGAATCCTGAGACAAATTTTGTGCCAGTTATCGGACAGCTGTCAGCTCTGACACCTCTCTCCCTATCTCTCTGACAGCTCGGAGTCACGGGAGCGCGGCCAGCGGACCGCCCATTCCGATACGACTCCTGTCCCGGCGTCATTCCATCGCCGCCGCGCCGGCCGGGGTGGGCGGGTGGTCACCATTCACCAGGGGCGGGACGCTGGGTGACGCCGCCTGCAGGTCATTACGGAGACTCATCTGTTGGGGACGGTCCCAGTGCGACCCCCGACCCGGCCAGCCACAACAGTAGCATCGTCAGCCGCACAGCACGTGCCCGCTCGGCACAGCACGTGCCCGCTCGGATGGAACGTGGGGACGGGGCTGGGATGGAAGGGGCTGGACGGAGCTGGGATGGACGTGGCTCGGCTGGATTGGGCTAAACGAGGGTGGCTGGAGACGTGAGGTAGAGTCATACAGAATCTCACGGGATCTCAGCTGATCCGACGGGATCACCTGCAGTCGGCCAGGGCCACGGGATTCCTCACGGTCACCTGGGACTGGGCCGGATCACGCGGGATCACTGGGTCGGGTCACTCGGGTCAGAGGTGACGACCCGACTCGAGCCGTTCGAGCCAGTTCCTTTTGTTCCGTGCTGTTCGGGACGGTCGGCTCGGTCACTGGCAGAACACACCGGTCGGCGACAGTTCAGTGCCGCGGTCGGCGCCCCTGCACCCCCGGCTCTCGGTCGGCGAGCGAGGACCCCTGGTCCCCGCTCGGCTGCACCCCGACCTCCCGGACAGTGTGCCGCTGGGCTGGGCACGAACAATGACGCTGGCACGGCAGTGCCGGTCCCGTCTGCGAGCCGTGCCGGTGACACACGCTGCACGACAGCGGCTCGTTTCGGCTAACGAGACACCCACACCGACACCGAGCGAACGGACTGGGAGGAGGGACATCCGAGCCGGTCAACGGACTGCACGGAGGGATCGCAGCGGCGAGCATTGTCCGCATTACGTGAAACGTAAATATGCTGGAAGAATGCAGACTAAAGACATTCATTCCAGAGATTGTTATTCTGTGTTCAGAAAGGAATACAGGTATATTCACTCAGGAATGCATTGCATTGCATATAACTGGACCGTTCCTCGAAAGCGATTCAGGCTGAAGAGTTCTGACTGAATTCAGCGCCAGACGAGTCGTCTCTCTCTCCTCTCGCCCTCACACACACGCCTGTCAACACCGTCTCGCTGTGTGCTGAGCTACGATAACCTGGTGTCGACGCGCTGTGGGCCGCCGGGATCGCCCATCGATGGTCGTACCGACACCGCCTGACCGGTGTGTTTGCCGTACACAGATAACGACCGCACATAACAGAGCATAAATCTGCCAGCGGCCGCACACGCTACGCCGGGCAAACGGCACTGCCCTAATGAATGGCGATCGCCATACGTAGTGCACACACACTCACATATTGCCACACTTTGATGTGCCATCAAATCAGCGGAATGAGTGTGTCCAATTGCTACATTATCACCGGTCACGCAAAGTATCGCCTGAGACGGTGGAGAAGAGGAAAGGCATTTCACAGATACCTATGAATAGCAAAGATTTATTAAAAGAGTGAAAAAGCTCAATTGTGTAGCATGAATTTGGTGAGATTAGATATTCCAGCTTGTTTACCATTCATTGGGATACATAATTCAATTTTACCATACTCTTAAAACAATATAATTATGATATTTACCGTCGCCTTTTCTATATGGCACTTTCAAATTTCAATACCAGAACATGAGGTCTGAATCATGATTTCGACACTGACAGACTATTATAACAGGACACTGTACAACTGAAAACGTGGAAGAAAGACGCAGCAAGAGCACCGACCTCTGCTGACAGAAAAAGCACATCGGGCCACACTCTCGGGAGTCCGCCGACGAACAGTCAATTAGCGGCTGCTGATTGGTTATTGACCGTGGCTCGCCGACAAAATGAACACAAACCAGGCGTAAATCCGAGACGCTATTGGGTGGCCGCTGGAGCGCTGAGCGCATGATGGATTGGATTAGCGCTTCGGCTGCCAGCGGCCAAAGATGACCGACAACGTGCCTGTCTGACGTGATCTGATGAATGTCCGACATCAGTCTGATTATCGAGGAGGACATATAACTATGCAAGTGTTGACAGTGTTAAATGTTTTTACATAATATAGGTACGGCGCTATGTTTTGCACACAGAGGCAGGTGACCAGTAAATAGTTGAATTCCTCGGCAAATTAGCGATCGACACATATTGTACGTTTAGTCGCTAATGACCGTGAAATCTTGTTATGGTAAATATTAAGTTTATTCGTGAGAGAAGAATTTATTTGTTTTTAACGATAAGAACAAGCCTTTATTAATTGCTTCCGTTTGTCTGTCGGATCGGGCCTGTTGTTCAGTGGATTGTCGTGTAATAAGCTGTCGACTAAGTCATGATGGTCCGGGATGATGGTCGGGGATTATTTGAATGTCACATACCTAAATAAGCAAAACAAAAACTGAATCACATCAAAGCGAATCACCATGCATTCTAAACTCATCTAAACTACGAAAAAACCCTAAAACTACGGCATGGTAGACAAGCCACTAACCATGTTCACCTTGTTGTAGCTGACCCTGCTGCTGCTGTTGCTGCTGCGGCTGCTGCTGCTGCTGTTGCGCGAGAAGATGTTGTATAAGGCCATTCGACAGCGGCTGAACTTGGCCATTGCGCTGAAACAAAATGGCAGTCATCATACACATTCTCCTTCATAAATGATCGATGTAAACGTTTCCATTTGTTAAACATAATAACGGTACTTTTGCATTTTTGCTGCCAACAAGGAAGCGTTTTACAGCAATATAAGACATAGGATGTAAATAACACCCTTCAGACTCTTATAGATTTGGAAAAAGTTTTTTTTATAAATTTAGTCCGAACCTTTTGATGGGAAGGATTCACAAGGACAGAGCCACCGCTAAGCGAAGCTTGTTGCGATGACCCTGCCCTCTACCCTCCGATCGCGCAATTCCGATTCTATGGCAGAATTTAGAGTCCAAAGTTTTACGTGCGCACAAAGCCGCGCACGGCCGGTCCCCTCGCTGACTTCGCCTGGCTACGGCCTGCCACCAACCAGGCGAAGTCAGCGAGGGGACCGGCCGTGCGCGGCTTTGTGCGCACGTAAAACTTTGGACTCTAAATTCTGCCATAGAATCGGAATTGCGCGATCGGAATTCGCGCGATTCCGATTCCGAAAAAAAAGTTATCCAGATTATTTAAGTCGTAACCCCAGAAAAATACACTTGTAACTGTAAGCACCTTCATTTTGAGCGTTGACCTCGACTGAATGCCGCGGTGACGTTATTTGGCGTCGCAGCTGACATGCCACATTATGCTCAATATAGGATATTGTATTTTTGTGTGAAATATAACATCTTGCAGCGCATCATATGGCGAAAACAGACAGTTAAGGGTGGCAGCTGCTATCTAATATGTGGGTAATCTACGTGGCTCACGGGCTTAGCGGGCTTAATATCACCGTGGGAGATCGAAGGAGTCTCATCAGACGCCCTCCAGCACCAGCACATGTTCTGTGGGTGCGAAGCCAGGTTTGGCCCAGGCTGATGGATTCGCCTAATTAATTAACCGGCAGTGCAGAATAGCTGCATGATATCCAGGTTCCGGTGAGATTGCTTCATTCCGAGATATCATTCATCACGGCGATGTTGGTTGTCCTCTTTCTAAGAGCTATTCAGGACATTAATCATGAATGGGCTTTTTCTCCGACAAACGCTGTTTTCGACAAAGTAAAAGAGACAATTTTTTGACATCAGTGGCACTTAAATATTAATTTCACTGACCTACACTTAAGAATAAAATATCAATTAAGCCGGTTCTATACCACCGCCTATCCTTCCCAACCTGTAAGAAGGAACGATTAGACGGTGTCACAAACCACTCTCCACGGTATGGCTATTTGTGTGAGCGATAATGTCAATCCCTCTCCAGGGTATAATATCATCACAGCCGAGCCAATGGCCGAGCGGGATCTTTCTGAAGAGGTTCGGAAACGCGGTCAACAGGGGAATTAGCCGGTCCCCATTACCGATACCACGCCAGAAATAGCCGCTCTGCGCCCAGCCCGACCACTCGTAGTGCTGAGTTCTGCTCGGGTGTGGCTCGCTGCAGCGTGCGTATGCAAATCGGTCGGCCGCTTTGGATAGGTGTGGCCAGCGCGGCTGTTTTCCACACAGCCTGTCAGTCACTGACTCACGGCGATAGCACAGCCCCCTGCACCGCTCCGTCAGGGCTGGTTATAGCGCAGAGCCTTCCAAAAATATGGCAAGGTCAACAGAATGACACACGATCAAACTGACAGATTGAGACGCCGACGGACTGGCAGGCTAACGAAGTGACAAACCAGCGAACCGGGGGACTGGCAAACCGGTGCCGCGCTGGCGGGCCGATACAGGTGCGGTCCTCTGACGGGCTGTCGGACAGCAGCCGTGCCCCGCCTCTCCGCTGTTAGAAGGAACATCGGCTCGGCATTGCGCCATCGCGGCGCGTTGTCCGCCCGCACAGACCGACCCGCCCGCCAGCTACACGGTCTGCCTGCCGTGTTCGCGTGCCGCTGCTGACGGTGTTGGTTTCTGCGCGTGCCGCCGTTCGCCGCCCGCCGCCCGCCGCCCGCCGGGCAGTTGCCACGTTGGCCACCCCGGTGACCGGTAACAGAGCGGGTCGAACCGCCGTCGGCCGCGACGGGGCAGGCAGTTATAACACCGGCGGGCGCCAGGGGCCGGCAGTGACCGGCCGAACCGACGACAAATGTCGTCTGGCCACGCCAGTCGACCCCGACGACACGAGCTCGAACCACAACAAACTGCGCGGCCGGCGCCGCACAACGGGGACAGCCGAGTCACCTCAATCACGACAGAAGTTAAAACAAATCTCGGATAGAAAGTTAGCTACATCAAACGCGGGTAAAAAGAAGGCACAGTTGCAACTTGACTCGACTCTGGCCTCTGGGTGTACTGAGACGGCGCTGGGCGATGTGGGGCGGTGTGTGGCTGCGGGGAGCGGGGAGGGGCGTGCAGGCCGTGTTGGTGGCCGACGTTCGCCGCCGGGCGCGCCGTCAGCGGTCTGCCGGTCGGCTGCACTCGCAGCGGCACGTGGACAATGGCTCGGTGGCGGCGGGCGGCCCACTGTGTCCACTCGGCATGGATCCACTGGGTCCGCTCCCACACCCACCTGCGCACGTGCTGACACAATGGCCGGCCAGCGGCGGATGCCGGCCAGACCTGCCTGCCGTGGGTCAGAGTCTCCAGCCAGGAAATGCTGCCGACCTGCAGGGTCGTAGCAAGCCGAGCCAGCTACAATTGCTCAAAAATTCGAAATGAATATTACTTTGAATCTCTCTTGGTAACCGTACCTAATTAGGATGAAATGGGGAACGGTCCGAGCAGCGCTCCCTGTTCAGTGCTGGACCTCGGATGCCTGTCAGATGTTGCAGCCTGCCCTATCGAATCTCTGACTCCCTTTGCTGAGTGCCGAGCCTGCCCTATCGAGTGTCTGGCTCTGCTGAGTGTCGACCTCCTCCGTCAATAGCCCGGCGCCTGAGGCGGTGCAGCGACAGCAGCGTATCGTCGGCGGCGACAGACGTCCCAAACAGCGCGGCGGCGCTCCGGCGCACGGGCGACTCGACCGTCAGTGATTGGGCAGGTTAGTGCCACACCATGAATCGCTGCGGCGCTAGGCCGAGGCCATCAGAGAGGGCGTGACGCTCCACGAAACTCCAACGAGTGAGGTACTCGAAATGAACCGAACTAATTCTCTGGAACCCCGACCCCGTCAGTGCATTGGATTTTCATTAGCCTGAACTGAGAATCTGACTATGGCAATGATTTCGTCCGTCTCTGGGTGAAGTTAAATTTCCTAAATAAACTAATAAAGATTCACTCAAGATAGATAGAGAAGTTCAGGTCCATACGTGGAAAGCAAGTGAAATGAAAAATAATAGCCTCCAGTAGCAATGCGCGCAGCGCATACGCTTTATAGTTGCTAATGCTTACTAATTCTCTAAAGTCTTAAGTTTGCATTTCAAAAGTCAGGCAATGGATGTTCATCCATGCCTAGCCTCAAAAGTTTGTTATCGGCTACACAAAAGTTCACAAAACGATCCTTTGGGAACTTGAATTTAATTATGCAGAAGCCAGAATTACATAGCAACTGGAGCGGAAAACAAAGGCAGCGTTTGAATCTTAGCATGCATATATTAACAAGGAAACAACCTGTTATGGAATGCAAATAGCTTATTCATAGTCCCATTTAAAAAGGTAAATTTTTAACTGCATTGGGAACTACTGCGTGGGTAAAACCTACTCACTCTGGTTTGAAAACTTCAGAATTTAAACCTCAACATTTAAACAGTCAGCTGGAAACTTCTCCACAAATTGAGCCAGTGTAAACGTTTATACAGCACTTACGAGCCCAACCAACTTACGCACGACCGAGCACTCAAACACATATTCCTCGAAACCTCGAAAGACGAGCCTCATTCCACACCCCCCTCTCTCTCGTATAGTCTCTCCCTCGCCGGGCTGGGAGGTGGTTCTGCTCAGCGGACCCTTATTCAGGCCGCTGTATAGGGCTGGGAGCTGCCCCTGCCGCCCGCCGCCACTCAGTTGCGACCGGACCGGCTGGCACGGCCGTCTGCCGGCCGACACGCACCTGACACCCGGCCTCTGACGGGCCGTCACAATCGCGCAGCCCACACCCATGCATCCTATATGCGGGCGAAGGAGCAGCGCGTCCGTCTCCCGACACGCACTGCGACTCGGGTCGGTCGGCAGAGGCATACCGAGATCATACGTCGTCGGGCCTGATTGTGATCGTACTGTTTCGTATGGGTGTCTGCCCGTGTTATCCCTGTGGCTCAGCGTGGAGAACCTTGTGGTGCATGGCACACTGTGCATGGTGCACAAACTGCTGCGCTTCGGTGAGCCCGAGGTGTTAGCCGTCGGTTTGTCAACCGTGGCTGCCGCTAGGAGCTCACTAGGAGCGCAAGCTAGGGTGACCCGACAGGACCACTCACTATATGTGCTCCGATCTAGAACCGAAGCAGGCAAGAGGCGCTTCATCAGCCGTGGTCCGGTTCTTTACGACCGCCTGTCACCCGATTTGCTCGGGCTCCCGGTGCCTGTTTTTAAGCACCGCCTCAGGCAGCTGCTGACGGATCCAACCTGACTGAGTTGAGCTAACCATCTGGTGTGTATGTGTGCTGGTATTGTCTGTATCTATGTTTCTTGTATTATCTTGACTATGATGTATGCGAGTGTGATTGTGATGCTTGTCTCTCTTTATCTTGACTTTGAAACCACCGTTTTAATTTTTGACGAGAGGATGTAATAGCCGCTTTTAGTGGATTTCCTTAATACACGTCTGAGTCTGAGTCTGAGTCTGTGCCGTTTTGCGCCTATGCCGTGCGATGCTGAACGCGCCGTGCTGAACTAAACGGCAGCACAATCTTCTCCAATGAACGAGAGACATGCCATGGACACTGCCGGCGCTCTCACGCTCGAATTGACAGTTTCCATTAGTTAAATCCATTACGGCTGAGTGGGCTTGTCGGAGCGATACCCAGCTCTTTGGGCCATGCTAGCCCTCTCATATACTTGCAATGACATCTCTGCACAGAACACCAAAATCCAAGCCCTGTGTCGCTCCGCATATCTTC